AATCTCCAAGGTATCATACGTCTATGCACTTGGAAAAACATCAATGACTGAACTCCGGCGTCTTGATCGTCACCTTCGCTATCGCGTGTGAACATGGCTCCGCCTGCTAAAGAACACGCCAACCCCATACTTCTACACTGATGCAAAGGATGGCGGAAGACCCTATCGTACAAGCCATTAGCAGTGATCGCAACATTTAACGTCTACTTATAGGATGAAACTCTGCAAGGTACACTTGTATAAATTTCGTGAAATCCAATTTCGAAGGTGATTATGTTTTGGTACCAGCCAATTTAAAACTAAATTTCATTTCCAGTTAAAGTTCCACCAATTTTAATTTAAAATTTTCTTTCCAAAACTTATTATCTACTTCAAAACATGTTTAATTTTCATGACTTCGGTTAAAACGTGATTAGAAACACTTTCCCACCGTTATGACTCGGCACTAAAAGGCCCTCGTGGGAACTAACAGTCGATCATCAAGAGGTCGCCCCGAAACAGATCCATGCTGCCCCACCAACACTGTCATCCACACAATCGGAGAGAAACTCTCTAGGGCACATTAGTCAACAGTGCCCTGGACTGCTGAAAGAAGAATCAGAAATTGATGAACAACGCGAAAGTTGGCGTATAAATGTGAGTGAAAATTTTTTCATCAGAAAAATAAGTGAAAATTTTCAAACCTCCGTTGAAACCTTTGAAATATCCTGATGGTCCTTGGCAAGAGATAGAATTAGATATTTTTGGCGAAATTCAAGAAGCTCCGTAGAATTATAAATATTTTGTAGTTGTATACGACTTATACTCAAGATGGCCTGAAATTGCAGCTGCAAATACAGTGACTACTCAATCCCTAATAAACATTTCAAAAGAATTGTTTTCCAGATGTTTATATCCGCGAATTTTAATCACTGATAATGGGCCACAAATGACATCATGCGAATTGGAAAACTATCTTCGCGATGTAGGTATAGAACATCGGCGAACAGCTCTATTTAATCCAAGATGCAATGAAGCAGTAGAACGTTTTAACAGGTGTATCAAAGAAGATTTGAAAACACAAATTGCAGATGGGACGCTGTTCAATGAAGCTATACGAGGTATTTTAATTAATTATCAATCCTTGCCTCATTCTTTAACAAATTTGTCTCCAGCTGAACTTATAATTGGGAAAAAGTTGCTGCCTCCAATTGATTTTTTGAAACCAGGGAAAGAAAGGGAGATTGATGATTTGAGTAAAAGGATATTGCAAAAGCATATTAACTAAGAGTTAATAACTAACTAAGAGTTAATATGATTGCAAATATAATTCACAAGAATCCCTTATAACCAGGTGACTATGTTCGTGTCCGTAGTCCTAGTCGATCTTACAAATTAAAATCTCTCTTTCAGATCCTTTATGTGTGATAAGCAGAGACGGAGACACTTTCAAGTTAGAAGATGGAACAATTTGGAACGCCTCAAGTTGTGTTCTATCAAACCTGAAGAATATTTGGAACAGAAGAGACGACGATGAATGCGAACCTGAAAAGATGTTTTAATATGGAGAAGAATCGGTTCCAGTAGAAATTCGACGATCTCCTGTTTGTACAAAACCTAGACGCAGCAGACGACGACCAACATATTTGAATGACTAAGTTGTTGATTGAGAAAGAGGGAAATGTTGTGTTGATGAATTGCCGCTATATGCCGATCAAGAGCTATGACGTCATTGTCAACCACGTTGCATTGCGGACATTCTTGAAGGACATTCGAATAGTGAAGCTGGTCGCGCTAACATGTCTCTCGCAGGGTCTACCCTAATAGACTTTTCAGTTAACTTGTATAATTTACGTGCTTGTTTTATATATATATGCTTTATAAAGAAACACTACAGCAATGCATCTGTGGTTGTTTTAGTTAGATTTTTAGTGTTTTAGGGTCTTTTAAGTCTGTAAAATTGTTTCTAGTTCTTAAGTAAGTTACCAAGTGTGTTTATTTCTGACTTTATGGCTATGAGACTAGAATAGGTTTACAGATTGTAATGTTAGTCAATAGGATGATATTACTGGTGTACTGTTTGAGTATCGTGTAATTACAGATGTTTTGGTGGTGTGTTATAGGGTATACTACGTAATTAGTTATTATCAGTGCTTTTCAATTATTGTGTATATTCTAGAGAATCGTTTATTGCAGTGGTTTTCAAACTTTTTTTAGCTCGCGGCGCACTGAGCAAATAAAAAAAATTTGCGACACACTTGTAATAAAATAAAGTTAGCTTTAAGCAAATTTATTATGCGAATGTTAATGCCATGTGTGTGCCTATTTTTAGAAACAATTAAAATGAGGTTCCGCAGCTCAATTTCCGTCAAGAGCAGGAAATCCGTGTTCACAGAGCCCTTGAGATGCAAATGGCTTATAGATTCTGCTTACAAATTCTATTCAATCATCGGTGCAAAAGACATCGAAATAATCTAGTTATCTGCAACTTCATGGTTCTGTGGCGGATTTTCTGCTATGCCTGAAATTAAAAAAAAGGGAACGATGGAACCTTGTTTCAATTGTTGCTTAAAACAGGCACACACATCGCATTTGCAGAATAATTAGTTTAATAAAAATAACTTTATTTTTTACAAGCGTGTGGCAATATTTTTTTATTTGTCTAGGCCAGTGATTCTCAATCTTTTTTAGTCCCAGAGCCAAATTCCAAACCTCAGAAGAGCCGCACACATACAACGCAAGTTAAAATAGAAACAAAACTTAGTTATCGTCACAAAAACACACGTAACAACTAGAGTTGGGCAAAATATTCGAATAACGAATATCGAAAAATCTAGACATGACTTGAGGGATTGATAGGGGTGACCAGCAGAGTTCCAAAATTTTTTGTGCAAAACGTCCTAGATTTTCCGACCCTTTTGGGTACAATCATACGCAAACAGAAGAATAATTCATTCCATTTTCGTAGAAGTATTGAGAAATTGATGGTTCCGCTTTTTGGGGACCACGCTGTATGATACTGTTTTTAATATAAATCAGTTAAATATGCTGCTTAGATTACTGTATTCTTTAGTACGCAACACAAATGATAAACCGACATTAAACAGTGTCAGACACAACATGAGTTTCCAAATGCCAATTTATGTATAACATATGTAGCCTTATTATTCAATGACCAAATAAATAAAAGTGAACCAGTCGCAACATGGAGATGGTCCTATCTGGCGTTCGTCAGTCCAATCAACTTGATGGTGGCTTTTTCCACCATCAAGTCCATGCGCCTGAAACATAACTGATCAACTAGTCTCATATCCGACATTAACTGGTAAACGGGCGAGCGGTTCGTCATATGATTAAGCCGTCTTATTAATATTCTTCTCCCCAGAATAAATAAATAAATATGGAAACTCAGCTCAATAACGATCGCATGGCCCTTGATATTGCGCTTCGTTAGCATGTACGAAGTTAAAATCATCCAACCTCACTCGATAAATAAACACCCAATAGAACCAAAAATATTAATTAAAGAGCAACACATTTTATTATAAAATTCCTGATGTGAGTTTCGCTACTTGCACAGAACTTATTTTAACAAACGAACAAAACTTTTGCAAATATTTGTACATGTTATGATATCAAAATCTGCGTATCGCAAAATTTCAACCAGGTGTAAATTGCAAGAAATTGTCCACGCATTGAATGTAGGATAATGACATGTAAAGTTATAAGAATGTAATGATACAAAAATTATGAAATAATAATTTATTATCTATTCTCTTTTTGCAGTTTTACCAGCATACTGTTTTTCAGTAATTCTATTTTTCACCTCTTTAGCGTGAATATTTAACCTCGTATTGAGTAAACTTTAAAAATGTTAAAAGCGAGATTGTGGGCTGTGGCAAAATGGGGAATCGTATTTCGAGAAGTCAACTTTATCAGTCGAAAAGCAACTGGCAAACATATATGATGAAGGATATTATTAACATTCGCGCGGAATATAGTTTCTTCCTCGCGCAAAAATACGATTGCTATTTTGAATGAGTGGCACAAATATTGAGTAAAACTATCAATTTTCAACCTTCTATCATGCGTGTAAAACCGAAATAGTTAGTAACGATTGTGGGCATTCATTGGAATTCACACTTTCCATAAAAAAATGCATCTCTGCAGAATCCAGTCTTGCAAGATGGTCAGTAAAAGTATGTGGTCATCAAATACATGCAAAAAATGTGAACACAAAGATCCTGATATTTGCGCTAGTTCAAACGTGATTGAAGCAAAAATATACAGGAGATTGTAGTTTTCAAAAATAAATTGGCTTTAAGTTTAAAATATATTCTCTAATTGAAAAAATATTTTTAGACTAATTTTGAATAGTTAGGTATTTGGTTGTTGCCATCCCCTTTAAAAACGATGAACATAAGAAGACTTAAACGATGGTGAAACTTCACTTCCAAATTACACTACATTGAAAAAGCATTGCCATTTAGCTGGATCGAGTGAAAAACAGCTTTTGTAAAACCAGGCCCAGGCCCCACTAGTACCATCTTCTTATGACACTTGAGTGTGATAGGGCTAAATAAATAAATAGGGCTAAAATAAAAAAAACTTTTGCGTACTCTAAAAAAGAAAATCAGTCAGAGATGATGAAGAAGAGTTGGGTTTGCCCTTATTGTTTACGCCTACATGTTTACAAACTTTAAAAGGCATAAAGTACACAAAAACGATCACAAAATTGAGTTTTATTTGAAGGCAGCAATTTTTTTGTGTATGTGCGCCGTGAGTTTTTTCCTAGATAATTTGCAGCCGCGCGAACAAAATGTTTAAAAACGGCTGCGTTTTTATCGATAACCACCTATAAAATTGGAATAGACTAGTCTAGTACCAGATGTAAATACTTATGAGAGTTGAGAATATTCTGATTTAAAGTGCCCGTTCTGAAAATACAAACTTTCCTTCAAATATTGACAGATAAAGTTACATGAACTTCGAAAAAACATATATACGGTAATTATGTTCCTATCCACAATCACCATACCGACATCATATGATATTGAAAAACTTATCTACATATACAACCATAAGTTGGAGTTATTTTTTTCGAATTTTTCTCTATTTGATATGGAATTTACGAGAATTAATTTTTGTTCAGAGCGAAGATTTTTTTTGGGTGTATATTAATCAGATTATGGCGATCCTGTTTATACTATAAAAATATTGGTTTCAAAAGAATAATATTCAGGTGTTTCTTCACTTATCTAGATTTCACTGAATTGCGAGTTAGTGTTGCTCATTATCACCACCTTGTGGCTGAAAGGAAACGTAACACTTTCAAGGTATGGTAACTATACTTCCTTCTTTGAATGTATTACTGTGGCTCTCACTCGTTCTTCTAATTGATGGGTTTCAGAGGAATCCGTGCAATGTAAGAAATACTGATGTCAACGAATTATGTTGGTATCACAGGACGGAAAATAACAGTTGTGGCGTGCCTTGGAGCGTTTAAGTGCAGAATCGGTGTCGTTCTAAGTCAATTATGGGTAGCTTATAACAATTCTCTATAAAATACCAACTGATATGTTAACAATTTTTACCAAAAACATCTCAACAAAGATAACTTTCTACATTTGAAAAAAGTCATGGCTTTGAATATGGCACTTTTTGCCTCAACATATTTGTGCAAACAAATATTTTCTGAAATGTGCGTCAATTAATATCCTTCTCGACTGGTTCTGACAGACGAACACTTGTAAAATGGACTTCGAATTACTAGCTCTTCCATTAAAGAAAATTTTGAAAGAATATCAGGGAAAAAACTAACTGCACATTTCTCACTGAATTCGTTTAGAGTCGGTGTGATAATAAATTTGCATAGCAATTTTATTCAGAAATTGATGCGTCTCAACTCATTATTTCTGCAAGGATCCATAATATTGACATAAGATGGAAACTAAAAAACTTTTTTTGCATGCAACCACTAGAAAATTAAAGTTAAATAAAGGTGCAGCCCGCTGTTTCAAAAAGTTATTTATATCTGGTTCTCCTGTATTAAAGGTTGCACATCCCTGCGTTAGGCAATACCAAACTCTTGAGTATAGAAATATATTGATTGAAGACTGCTAAATTTTGCGTTATTATCTCACTTGGCCATATTCTTGCAAATTACGAGTTTCGAGTCCCCGATCTTTTCGTAAGAGGAACGGCGAGTGTTGCTCATCATCACCACCTTGCGACTGAAACTGAAAAGTGACAATTTGAAAGTCAAAGAAGTATTGTGGGTATCATGGAAAAAGAAAATTCCACCTGACGCGTGGCGTGGGTAGTTCATGGGTAGATCCCGAGTCAAGCTTACATGACTTATGAATGGTCAATATTAATTCTGTTTTACGTAGCAATTGGCAATTAACCTGCCACATAAACACCTTTTTCTCAGTAAGATTTTCAAGCATTGCAGTAAATCATTGGTATTTTTTTATTTTCTGGATTATTTTGCCATTAACTCGTTATTTTTAAAGAAATTTAATAACTTATAGCTCATTTTGTCTTCGTAGGTAGGTTAGTTACGGTAATTCAGCTATTCTCGAATGATGATGTTTATGGGAAAACTTTCTGTTACGTAGGTCTTTCTCTATTGTCACGTAAATGTTAAAACCCTCTTACAGCGGCTAAGCTCATATGAGAGAATATTTACGCTTAATTTTGTGCTTGGTAAACTACTGTTAATATCGCTCTTAGCTCTTTGTTGACGTTATCGCCTGATATGAGAGAAGCGATAGAACCTTCCAGCCGTGACGCAAAGTGCGAATTCTATAAATAGCGTGGATTTCAAAATCGCCTGTCAGACGTCTGAAAATGTCGACTCAGCTCAGGCAGGAAATACTCCTTTATAATGACTTATTGTTGGTTTAGCATGTATTTTCAGTCATATATACTATCCCTGACCATCCCTGGCGCTGTGTTGTTTTGATAAATATGATTTCGACTGCTCCATAGTTGGCAGAAGTATGGAGATTTTTTGTAGTTAAAAAAAACGTAAAATTAATGGTAATTTTAACGCGTAAATGCGCGTATGGGATTGTTTACGCCATTCTACGTGCATTTCCGTCGAAAAAATTTAATTTTTTTGCGTTGGGGGTGGTCTGTGCAGTAATAATAAGAGCTGTGACGTCATCAAAATCAGTAATTTTAGCCTTGAACTTGATACACCTGTAAATACAATTGTGAATTTCAGAGTAATAACCATTTATGCTATAATAGGCGTTTCGGTGATGTTGTGTTAGGAAAAACTTGAAGAAAACGTTGAAAAAAAAATTAATTAATTAGGAATTAATTATTAACCCTCTACTGTACACAGAATTTCTCAAGGTCCAATTTTATTTTAGAAATTTTTGAGATATTTTTGCAAAAAATTTTTTTTTTTGGAGTGTGTTTTAAAGATATATTGCGGAATAGAACTCTAGCACACGCTTTTAAAAATTCATAAAAGAAGCTTTAGGGCTTAGTGGTTGACAAAAAAAATAACTTTAAAAAGACCATGTCAAATAAATTGGGTCAACAGCTGGAAGAGAGTTTTAAGTAGCCTAATACTTGACGCAGGCACTTCTTTATCTATAAGTTTCTCTATGTGCTGTTTTTTTTTAAGTGGTGAACCGAGTTAAGCGAACATGCCTTATTTTTTAGTACTCCAAAAGAAAATCAGGCAGAGATGATGAAGAAGAGTTAGATTTGCCTTTGTTTACGCCAAGGTTGCCCAACCCGCGGCCCGCCCAATAAATTTTGTAAGGAGACTTTTCAATTCTTTACTATGTTATAAATAGACTTAAGAATGTTTCGTGATTTTGATGTGATTATTCCCGCCATCTAACTACATCCGGATGCCGATTCTTATTATTACGTTTTATGTATCAAGTATTACGCCCTGGTGGACATCGACGTTCGTTTTTTTTCGCAGAACTGTGGGTTCTATTCGACGATCTCAAAAAATATTGTGCGATCATAGACGACGAACGCTGAGTGCAATTATAGGAATGAATTTGGAACCTAAATTTTCAAATTAGTTTAATTCTGATTGCTTTTTCCGTGTAGGCTTTGATCGTCTTTATCGCCAACGTAAAATAAATAGTCAACAATATTCTTTGCTGCTGGCTCCTGGACTCGTTTTTCTTTCATGTTTGTATTTTTGTTTATGTTATGTTTGCGTTAAATAAAATGCCGGAAATATTGTCACTGCGTATCTGTCAATAATTCTGATAAAATTGACTTTTCCACATATTCAAATTAGTATATACGGTATATTCGTCCGAAAGTTATTGTAATGTTTTTATCATTAAATACTTGTATTGATGTTTCAAATTTCACGAAACGGCCAATCAAAACTTGATGTTCCCGCGACATTGGCGCACATTACGCTTATTGAGACAATATCATAGCCACTGAAAATAAATAAATAATTAAATACCAGGACTCAAATATAAGACTCAAATTTTACGGCTTTTGTTTGTTATAGTAACTGTGCAGATTCTCGTGTGGTCGTCATAAATTCACAAGTACGTTGTGTAATGATTGATTTTTTAATTCAGCGGCCCGCGAGTGTCATGTCCATGCCTTGTGTTACCAGATATTCGAATATTAAACAGCTATTTTAATATTCGACTTCATATTCGAATATTTCGCCAGCATTAATGAGTAACCATGCAGTAAATAATTATCAACGTGATTGATTTCATGTTAATAATCTTGCCTTTTCTGTATTATATAATTTCCAACGAAATCAGGACTTGGTTGGTATCAGTTTGGTACAAACGTTTGAGGCCCGCAACGAATTAGTTTATGGGAAAGTGGCCCGCGAGATCAAAAAGCTTGGCAGGCCTGGTTTACGCCTACATGTTTACAAACTTTAAAAAGCATAAAATACACAAAACCGATCACAAAATTGAGTTTTATTTAAAGGCAGCAAGCGCCGTGAGTTTTTTCCCAGATAATTTGCAGCTGCGCAAACAAAAAGTTTGAAAACGGCTGCGTTTATTGATAACCACCCATAAAACTGGAATAGACTAGTCTAGTACCAGATGTAAATACTGATAAATGAGAGTTCAGAATATCGTGAGTTGAAGTGCCCGTTCTGAAAATACAAAGTTTGCTTTAATGGAAAATTATTGAAGGTTTCTGATAGCAAGCATAAATATTTCAGTATGGTTCAAATTTTGACAGATAAAGATACATGAACTTCGGAAGAACAAACGGTAATTATGTTCCTATCCACAATCACCACACCGACATCATATGACATTGAAAAATTTATCTACATATCGAACCATAAGTTGGAGTTATTTTTTGAAATTTTCTTCTATTGTTTCCAATCTTTTCAAAGGTTGATATGGAATTTACGAGAATTAATTTTTGTTCGGCGCGAATTTTTTTTGGGGTGTAAATTTATCAGATTATGGCGATCCTGTTTATACTATAAAAATATTGGTTTCAAAAGAATAATATTCAGATGTTTCTTCACTTATCTAGATTTCACTGAATTGCGGATTATGAACCTTTGACCTCTCGATCTGATGAACGGTTATTGTTGCCCATTATCACCACCTTGTGGCTGAAAGGAAACGTAACACTTTCAAGGTATGATAACTATACTTCTTTCTTTGAATGTATTACTGTGGCTCTCACTCGTTCTTCTAATTGCTGGGTTTCAGAGGAATCCGTACAATGTAAGAAATACTGATGTCAACGAATTATGTTGGTATCACAGGACGGAAAATAACAGTTGTGGCGGGCTTTGGAACGTTTAAGTGCAGAATTGGTGTCGTTCTAAATCAATTATGGGTAGTTTATAACAATTCTCTATGAAATACCAATTTTTACCGAAAAAATCTCAACAAAGATAACTTTCTACAAACCATCTGAAAAAAGTCATGGCTTTGATTATGGCACTTTTTGTCTCAATATATTTGTGCAAACAATTTTTTTCTGAAATGTGCGTCAATTAATGTCTTTCTCGATTGGTTCTGACAGACGAACACTTGTAAAATGGACTTTGAATTACTAGCTCTTCCATCAAAGAGAATTTCGAAAGAATATCAGGGAAAAAACTAACTGCGCATTTCTCACTGAATTCGTTTAGAGTCGGTGTGACAATAAATTTGCATAGCAATTTTCTTCAGAAATTCATGCGTCTCAACTCATTATTTCTGCAAGAACCCATAATATTGACATAAGATGGAAACTAAAAGAAACTTTTTTTGCATGCAACCACAGGAAAGTAGAAGTTAAATAAAGGTGCAGCCCGCTGTTTCAAAAAGTTATTTACATCTGGTTCTCCTGTATTAAAGGTTGTACATCCCTGCGTTAGGCAATACCAAACTCTTGAGTATAGAAAGATATTGATTGAAGACTGCAAAATTTTGCGTTATTATCTCACTTGGCCATATTCTTGCAAATTACGAGTTTCGAATCCCCGATCTCTCCATAAGAGGAACGGCGAGCGTTGCTCATTATCACCACCTTGCGACTGAAACTAAACAGTGTTACTTCAAATGTCAAAGAATTATTGTGGGTATCATGGAAAAAGAAAATTCCACCAGACGCGTGGCATGGGTAGTTCATGGGTAGATCCCGAGTCATGCTTACATGACTTATGAATGGTCAATAATAATTCTGTTCGACGTAACAATTGACTATTAACCTGCCACATAAACACCTTTTTTCAGTAAGATTTTCAAGCATTGCAGTAAATCATTGGTATTTTTTTTATTTTCTTGAATATTTTGCCATTAGCTCGTTATTTTAAAAAAAATTCAATAACTTATAGCTCATTTTGTCTTCGTAGGTAGATTAGTTACGGTAATTTAGCTATTCTCATATGATGTTTATGGGAATCAAAAAAATCATTTACTCTGCGATGTCGTTAAATTTCTGTTACGTAGGTTTTCCTCTATTGTCACATAAATGTTAAGTAATACGTGACGCAGACACTTCTTTATCTATAAGTTTCTCTATGTGCTGTATTTTTATGTGGTGAACCGAGTTTAGCGAACATGCCTGATTTTTTAGTACTCCAAAAGAAAATCAGGCAGAGATGATGAAGAACAGTTGGATTTGCCTTTGTTTACGCCAAGGTTGCCCAACCCGCGGCCCGCCTGACTGTTTTTTGCGGCCCGCCCAATAAATTTTGTAAGCAGACTTTTCATTTTTTTACTATGTTATAAATAGACTTAAGTATGTTTCGTGATTTTGATGTGATTATTCCCGCTATTTATCTACATCCGGCTGCCAATTATTATTATTACGTTTTATGTATCAAGTCTTACGCCCTGGGGGACATCGACGTTCGTTTTTTTTCGCAGATCTGTGCTTTCTGTTCGACGATCTCAAAAAATATTGTGCGATCATAGGCGACGAACGCTGAGTGCAATTATAGGAATGAATTTGAAACCTAAATTTTCAAATTAGTTTCATTCTGATTGCTTTTTCCGTGTAGGCTTTGACCGTCTTTATCGCCAACGTAAAATAAATAGTCAACAATAATCTTTGCTGCTGGCTCCTGGACTCGTTTTTCTTTTATGTTTGTATTTTTGTTTATGTCATGTTTGCGTTAAATAAAATGCCGGAAATATTGTCACTGCGTATCCGTCAATAATTCTGATAAAATTGAAAATTCTACATATTCAAATTAGTATATACGGTATATTCGTCCGAAAGTTATTGTAATGTTTTTAACATTGAATACTTGTATTGATGTTTCAAATTTCACGAAACTGCCCACTAAAACTCGATGTTCCCGACATTGGCGCACATTACGCTCATTGAGACAATATCATAGCTACTGAAATTAAATAACGAATTTCCTTATGTGAAAGTGGCCCGCGAGATCAAAAAGGTTGGGCAGGCCTGGTTTACGCCTACATGTTTACAAACTTGAATAAAGTACACAAAAACGATCACAAAATTGAATTTTATTTAAAGGCAGCAATTTTTTCGTGCATGTGCGCCGTGAGTTTCCCAGATAATTTGCAGCCGCGCAAACAAAAAGAAAACGGCTGCGTTTATTGATAACCACCCATAAAATTGTAATAGACTAGTCTAGTACCAGATTTAAATACTATAAATGAGAGTTAAGAATATCGTGAGTTGAAGTGCCCGTTCTGAAAATACAAACTTTCCTTCAATGGAAAATTATTGAAGGTTTCTAATAGCAAGCATAAATATTTTGGTATGGTTTAAATTTTGACAGATAAAGATACATGAACTTCGGAAGAACATACGGTAATTGTGCTCCTATCCACAATCACTACACCGACAACATATGACATTGGAAAACCTATCTACATATAGAACCATAAGTTAGAGTTATTTTTTTCAAATTTTCTTCAATTGTTTCAAATCTTTTCAAAGGTTGATATGGAATTTACGAGAATCAATTTTGTTCAGCGCGAAGGTTTTCTTTCGGTGTATATTAATCAGGTTATGGCGATCCTGTTTATACTATAAAAATATTGGTTTTAAAGGAATAATGCGTATTACAAGAGTGTACTATTTTGCAACGAAGCCATAAATTGGCAATAATTATTAGGAACAGAGATCTAAATCTGAAAACAGTGTAATTTTATGCGCAACTACTGAAGCTGGGATTGACTTTTCGACCCAAAAGGCTCAATAATGTTTAAAAAAATTACCAACAAGCAACTACTGAAGCTAGGATTAACTTTGCAGGTTTAATTCAACAAATGGTCTACTGGCTTGAAGGTGAAATGCGGTTTAATTTTACCAATCAAATTTCTGAAACCAATTACCAATTGCTACAGGCTGACCGGGCAAGACCCAAGTTTTTTTGATGACTGAATTTTGGAATAACTGATTATTTAAATACTAATATCCAAATACATACTTATATAAACAGTATTCTTAACTGAAAATACTTAATTACTGAAAATATGAAAACCTCAGGCCAGTAAAAATTTTATCTGAAAATTTTATCCCCCTTAATGAAAATTTTATCCCCCTTAATGCATGATGTGCCAAATTTGTCACACACCTTACTATCTAAATATTTCGAAATGCTGAAGGAATAGGTAAAAACAGCTAAGATAGGCCTCTTCATTGCTAAATTACCCACCACTACGAATTTTTTCACCTCCCCCAGCCCAACTGACACGAGATTACAATCAACCAGAGATTGACTATCAGCGACCCAGTGCGAAGTCTGCAACCCGCTTATGAAATTCGGAAAATTTCCTCCGTTTATTACGCAATAGAGAAATGCGTCGTGGACGCATAGTAACCATTGAGGTTATACACTTCAATGATAGTAACCAAGTTACTCAACAGCATAACCAAGTGGAGCAATATGAAAAACAACACGTGACCAAAATAGAAGGTGTTTTCCCTGATGTGCCAAATTTGACCCGCCATGCATTGAAGAGATAAACACCTTTTACTTAAAAAAAATTTCAAGCATTGCAGTGAATCGTTGTTATTTTTTTTTTCATTTTCTGGATTATTTTGCCATTAGCTCGTTATTTTAAAGAAATTCAATAACTTATAGCTCATTTTGTCTTCGTAGTTATTTTAGTTACGGTAATTCAGCTATTCTCAAATGATGTGTATGAGAATCAAAAAAATCATTAACCCTGTGATGTCCTACTTTCTGTTACGTAGTTCTGACTCTATTGTCACGTAATAATTGACGCAGACACTAATTTATCTACAAGTTTTTTTTATGTGGTGAACCGAGTTTAGCGAGTTTAGGTTTTAAAAGAATTATGTTCAGATGTTTCTCCACTTATCTAGATTCCACTGAATTGCGATTTGTGAACCGACTTCTCGATCTGATGAGCGGCGAGTGTTGCTCATTACCACCACAGTGTGCCTGAAAGGAAACTTAACACTTTCAAGGTGTGATAACGATCTTTCTTTCCTTATTTGAATGTATTACTGTGGCTCTCACTCGCTCGTCTAATTGCTGGGTTTCATAGGAATCCATGAAATGTAAGAAATATTGAGGTCAACGAATTATGGTTCAGTTGTACAGTTGTGGCGTGGCTTGGAGCGGTTTGCGTTGCAAAGCTTATACTCCGGTCCACCAATTTATTATCTATGCCTATGACGTAAGGCTGCCCAACAGCTAGTTTGTGCGAAGCGAACAACGCGATTCTCAAAGCTGTCACGTGCTGAGCAGCGAGCAATTTTTAAGGAAAGTGCAGAGCAGACGCCAATAAGTTAGTAAGAAAGGACAATAGAAGGTTAAGCAATTAGGAAGCAGTTTGAAGAATTTCACCATTGAGAGATACAAAAGCTAAACGAGTTTTAGTTTCAATGTGTCATCTATTTTGTCTAAATCTAGTCTGGGATAACACAGATTTGACAGCAAAGTATTTGGAAATGAATCTTGGCGATTTTTACCGAAAACATCTCAACCAAAATAACTTTCTACATTTGAGAAAACTCATGGCTTTAAATATGGCACTTTTGGTCTCAACATATTTTTCAAACAAATTTTTTCTAAAATTATTAAATATCCGTCTCGATTGGTCCTGACAGACGAACACTTGGAAAACTAGTTTCATATTTCTCACTGAATTTGTTTAAATTCAATGTGACAATAAATTTGCACAGCAATTCTCTTCAGAAATTAATGCGTCCTCATCATTTCTGTAAGGACCCATAATAAAGCCATGAGATCAATAACAGAAAGAAACTACACCGACACCATATGAAAGGAAAAACTTAGCAGGAAATTTCCAAAGTTCAACTTTTTATGGAATTTACACTAATGTCGCTTATTATCGTCACCTTATGGTTGAAGCACCTTAAACTTCAATCAGGTGTCTACAGGTGACTTCGAGGGCTTCAAATGCCGATTCCGAGAAGAGAAATCATTTACCACGATATCACCGTAGAGATTGATGAAATACGTAAAGACACCAGGGGGAGAGAACTGTTTTCTGAGCAACCACTAAATCCATAGATTAGAGCAAAGCAATTACTGTCGCATAATTATGTCAAGCCTGAGTTTAATTCTGCCAAACATGATATTGCGCATGACGACAGGACAGGCATGAGTACGCCAGATGAGGCCAAGCCTCTTGAGGCCAAGCCTCTTAAATGCTGTCGTGCAATTGACCAGGGCCATGATGGCTGATGGCAAACATATTCAGGAAGGAATTCATATCGCCCCAGATAAAATCCCCAGATCTGTGTTTGATAGGAATTACCTGAATTGTAATTTCTAGATTTTTCGGCGTTCCTTCAAATATAAATCATACATAATTCACTAAAATATGATGTGTTATGATCTGTATTTGATAGGAATATCCTGAATTGTAATTTTCAGATTTTTCGGCGTCTCTTCAACTATAAATCATACTTGATTCATTGAATTATGATGGTAGGTTATCGCTAAACTAAGAATGAGCGTCTACAGATGACTTGAAGCGGTTCAAATACCGATTCCGAGTCATGCTGAAGTGACGTATGCGTGGTTTTGAATAATTCTCCTCGAAGTAATAATTGAAAGTTAACCTGTCGCTTGAAGGCGTTTTACTTGGGCATATTTTCAAAAGTTGGTGTAAATCATTGTTATTTTTGTATTTTCGGTTTATTTGTCTTCCTGGGAATTTGAAATTAGTTTCGAACTCGTCTCAGGCCGCTTCAATGGGCTCATTTTGCAAGAATCATTTAAAAAAATTCACCAGCCATTGGGCCCTAGTAATTCACCCAGGGCTTTTTAAATAGCGTATGCTATAGTTCTATTCGGCTACATGTCGTTAAAAATACTTTTTCAATAATATTTTATCTATGAAATCTAACTCTCAAAAATCTGTAAATAACAACCATAAACTTCAGAGTTTTTGTGTCCAGTAGAGGGTTAAGGACTTATTGTAATTGATTAATTTTAACATTTTCTTGTCTAGGTTACCAACGAAAATGTTCCACAGCATTTGTTGTTATAGCCAAAATTATTACTGAGAAATTCTCAATTGTATTTACGTTGGTTAGAAACTTAGAATTACGGTGGATATCACGAAGAGGAAAATTCCAGTCGACGCATGACGTAAAGTGATTCAATTGTAGATTCCGAGTCAGGCTAAAATTACGTATCCATGGTCAATAATAATACTGTTTGACTTAACAATTGGTAGTTAAGACACAGAAACTTTGTAAGAAAAGAATTGTGTTCTATTCACAATCACTACACCGCCACCATAGGAAATAAAAACTTATCAACATATTAAAAGATCATGTAGATTTTTTCCCCCTTTTTTCTACTATTATTCCTGCTATTTCCAAAGTTTAACTTTTAATGGAATTTACACTAATGTTGCCCATTATCACCATCTTGTGGTTGAAGCACACTTGTAATTCGAAGATATATTAATGCTCTGTTAAACATTAAATGTCTCTCTGTAGCCCCTTCAGTGAGATTTCAATTTCTAAATTTTTTGGCGCTCCTTAAACTTCATTCATAATTAATTCACTAAACTTTGATGGTGGGGTATCGCTGAACTGAGAACGAGCGTCTACAGGTGACTTGTAATTTGGCGCGGCGGTGTGGCTCAACGGGCTAAGCGTTAGGAATACGCTCGCCACCGCACCCCTAATTACTCTGCGTGGGTTCACAGGTTCGAATCCCATGCAGGGATGGTTATGTGCGAGAGGATTGCTGGACTCCTCGCCGTCGTTGGGTGGTTCACGTAACCGCTGGTCGGTTATGGCTTCATATGAGCTTACCGGCACTATGTACATTAGCGACGGGTAACCTACTGTTAATATCGCTCTAGCTATTTATTGACGTAATGCCCTAATAAGAGAGTAGCGATAAAACCTTCCAGCCGTGACGCAAAGTGCGAATGGTAGCGTTTATTTTAAAATCGCCTGTCAGATGTCTGAAATTGTTGACGCGACTCAGACAGAAAATCAATAACATTAACTCCTTTATAATGACTTATTACTTATCGATCTTAAGATCGGTAAGTATGTTGATAGGTATTTGTCTGTTTGTTTGTTTGTCTGTCTGTTAGATACTCGCGATATCTCACGAAAGCGAGGTTGGATCTGCTTCAAATTTTGCATGTGCATTCATCATATCTCGGATCTATTGATTTTGGATGAATTATGTCGTATAATTGGCGAGTTATTAATTAATTAGTGATGGGACACACGGTGTCACTATGGAGTGAGAGCGCATGAATCGAAACCGCAGTTTCTGATTTGGGGGATCCCTAACTTTCGATCGATAAGTCTTCGGTATCCGACCGATATTCTCGGTATTGGTTTAGCATGTATTTTTAGTCATACATACCATCCCCGGCACTGTGATGTTTTGATAAATATGATTTCGACTGCACCATACTTGGCAGAGGTATCGAGAGGTATTTGTAGGTGAAAAAAAAGCAAAATTAATGGTAATTTTCACGCGTAGCTGTGCGTATTGGATTGTTTACATCTTTCGCATTGGGGGGTCTGTGCAGTAATAATTAGAGCAGGGACGTCATCAAAATTGGTAATTGAAGCCTTGAACATGATAATTCTGTAAATACAGTTGTGTAACCATTTTAAACCAGTTCTGCTATAATAGTCGTTTTGGTATTGTTCTGTTGGGAAATCTTTACGAAAACGTTGAAATAAAATCATTTAGTTAGGAATTAATTATTAACCCTCTACTGTACACAGAATATCTCAAAGTCAAGGTTTTTTATTGAAAATTTTCGAAATTTTTTCGCATACAATTTTTGTTGTTGTTGGAGAAGTGTGTTTTAAAGATATATGCTGAATAGAACTCTAGCACACGCTTTTAGAAAGCCATGAGAGAAGCTTTAGGGCTTAATGGTTGACAAAAAAAATAATTTTAAAAATAACCATGCAAAATGGGTAGGGGTTTGAGCGCCAAAAAGACAAAGGGATTTTTCCTCGGAGTATTTTTAGGAGTTGGTGTAAATCATTGTCATTTTTGTATTTTGGGTTTATTTTTCTTCCTGGGAATTTGAGATTACTTGCGAACTCGTCTCAGGCCGCTTCCTCTAGCTCATTTTGCAAAATTATTTAAGAAAATTTTTTTTATCACCGGCCATTGGGCCCTAGTAATTCACTCATGGCTTTTAAGATAGCGTATACTAGAGTTCTATACGGCTACATATCGTTAAAAAGCACTTCTTCAATAATACTTTATCTATGCGATCTAGCACCCAAAAATTTGTAAAAACCAACCTTGAACTTGAGAGTTTTTGTGTCTAGTAGAGGGTTAAGAACCTATTGTGATTACCAACAAAAATGTACCACAACAATTGTTATACCTAAAATGATTACCGGGAAATTCTCAATTGTATTTATGTTGGATAAAATTACGATTGATATCACGAAGAGAAAAAATCTAGTTGACGCATGACGTGAAGTGGTTCAAATGTAGATTCCGAGTCAGGCTAAAATTACGTATGTATGATCAATAATGATACTGTTTGACGTAATAATTGGTAGTTAAGATACAGAAACTTTGTAAGAAAAGATTTGTGTTTCTATCCACAATCACTACACCGACACCATATGAAATCAAAAATTTATCAACATATTAATTGATCAGGTACATTTTTTCCCCATTTTTTCTATTATTCTTGCTATTTCCAAAGTTCAACTTTTTATCGAATTTACACTAATGTTGCTCATTATTACCATCTTGTGGCAGGAGCACAACTGTAATTCGAAGATATATTAATGCTCTGTTAATCTGT